CTCCGCCCCTGACTCCGCACACTTTTCTCCGGAGTTTTATTTTCCCCGGAAATTTTTTTCTCCGCAATTTGCGGGGTCTCATCATTTTCTGCAAGGTATGAAAATCTGCTTCATTGACACACAATGAGAACGCGAGACGCAGAGAATTGGCGGAAATTTGGCAAAAGTTGGGATCAGAAATATTAAAGAAAGAGCCTGAGCAGATATCAGAGAACAAAATTTTTCATCGCAGTGCATTGCAGTGCTAAAAGTGAACGAACTCAGGGAATTTTTGGCGTCGAGTGGCGCGTTCCCTGCGCCTTCGTGGCTATAAGCCAAGGAATTCGGCTATTAGCCCATGTTTTTGGCTAATAGCGGTGAAAAACGGCTAATAGCCAACTCGGCAGCCATCCGGCGTCTAAGCGGCTTCTAGAACCAGCAACTCCTGGTGTGGCAGCTACGATCTAGGTCCGCGATTAGGCGGCGATCAGCGCACCTACACCGCGAGCGCGAGGATCTGGTTGACACCACTCGTCCTTCCTGGCGCATTAATTATTTTTTATTTATTTCTGCGCTATTTTTTATTCGGTTTTTACAATTATTATTCAACTCTATAAAATCCTTGATGAAATGGAGCTGCCGATGCCTACTGTAAAGCAGATGAGTAAGTGGTACAATAATGTTGCAGTAAAAATATTATATTTTCAGGTTTAATAGAAAGAATGACAGAAATCTACGGAAATTTCAATTTTTGTTGGATGAGAAGTAGAAATATAGAGGTAAACTTTTATTCATTTGATTTTCTTCCAAATAATAAAGTTTTCAGACCCGTCTTACGGACGCTCCACCTAAATTTCAATGACGCTTGGATTAAGTCAAACCCGGTTAGTACCATTAAATACGCTTTTCGAATAATTTTTGCATAATTTCAGAGAAAGGCCAAGCTCATCCGGAGATCTACATTCATTTTCTTTCATTCCTTGCTATTTCACTAATTTCGATATCTTCTTCCCTCGTTGCTCTATTAAATTCCGTCATCTTTTTTTTTGTAACTCTATTCTCATTCACATTTTTATTTATTGTATTGTTATACTTACCGTAAAACCTGTATTAGAAGGGCCCCTGAAATTGAAGGGCCCCTCTAATTGAAGTGCCCTCCTAGAGGCCTCACGAAAAATATAAGTGCTCCCTCTATTTGAAGTACCCCCTCCAATTGAAGTGCCCCTTTGACTATCTCCTTTAATTTTCAGCCGTTTGTTATGTTGTTTTGATTGAATAACTGTCTGATTTTAAAAAATGCTGGCTCCTAAGAATTTTAATGCCGTTGCTCTATTATCCTTGTCAGAGAAAAAAAAGGTTGAGTCGAAGTGTATGCGATGTTTGCAAACAAATATCTGAAAGCGTAAACAACCGGAAACAGTTGAAACGAGTGCGACAGTAACCCGGCGGGAAAATGTTAAATTTACCTATTTTTTAGTTTTTCGAATATTTTGCAGCAAATTTCGTCGAATATGGTTTGTTTTTCAT